CCTGGTCTGGTGGAAGGTGTCCCTGCCCATGGCAGGGGGGTTGGAACGAGATGATCTTTAAGGTCCCTTCCAACCAAACCATTCTATGATTCTATGATATACATATGTACATACACACAATCACACGTATATCCCAGACCTCCATCCTGAACAGCCAGAGAGCGGAACAGGTTCAGCACGTTGGTGCTGTTTGAGCGCTGATCTGTACAGCCACTCGTGTACACATATGTACATGTGTACTGCATATGTGTGCTTGTATGTGTGCCTATTGGCAATACATGCTCAGCCTCACTACTGGCTGGACCTGGGAGCAGCCAGCTGCAGCAGCCTTGCCTCTGTTGGGCTACCAATGTTAACAACTAGCATTTCAACTCCCAGGTATCTCTTAAATAAGTATCTTTTAGTAGAAAAGGTAAAACAAAAGGTAGGAAAAGGAAATGCCTGGGATAGGGTCCTGAGGCCTTTTTGCAATACCCACCAGGGAAGAAAAAAAACAGAAAAAAAAGAAAACAAAAAAAAAAGGCTATTTCACACAAATACTTATCCTCTTCAGTTCTAACAGAATTAAGTTTTCATAATAAAAGGGGTGTGGGGGAAGACAACAATAAGCTATTTTCCTGTATAGCATTTTATGGACATTTTTTCATGAATCTGAAGTCTCTTTTATAACAGTAACTTTGCCTTCTTTCGATGTCTTAAATACCCCTGCCACTCCAGAGGTTGATTTTATGCTTCCACATTGTGTTTGCCTTGCACATTTTTAAGAACATTGTCTGTGTGGTCATAGGCCAAGTATATGTTTCACTTGGAACATTTTTTGGTATTGTGGTTAAAATACATCCCATTGCCAAAAATAAAAGATAAAAGCAATCCAGGAGAAAAATGAAAAAAGAAAATATGAATAGCTATTATTCACATATAAAAATTTAACATTGTAGCATTTTTTTGTTAGTTCATAAACTGATTTCTTAAATAGCTTTCCCATTTATTTCTATAAAGTTTTTTTTGTGCAAACAGAAGGAAGTTGTCCAAACAGATTTAACTCCTCCTCTCCAACAACATAATTTTGAAGCTAAAAATGAAGAAAGCATTCCCCCACTTTTGATAGGAAAACCACCTCTTTAGGACTGTTTTAACTAACTGATAATGTTAAATAATTAATTCATTGTAAAAGCAAATCTACCATACTGACCCATAGGCTATGGAGTTAATATTGATGCACGTGCTAATCCTGGGATCAGGAGCCCAGAGAACACGTAAAAAGAATACATTTTTGGGTAGATTTTGATACGGATACAGCAAGTCTAGCTCATTGGAAAGACACTTGAAGAAAAAGCACTTCAAGAGAAATACTAGCCAGCAACAGCAATTTCAAGCTCCTGGTATTTACTAAGTCCTAAAAGCAGGAGGTGGACACTGCCATATTCCACAGAGGCAAGATACTCCACAACAGGACTTGCTACCTAAAAAAATTCAACTGTAAAAGTGTATCTCAAATAAACCCCTGTTACCATAATCCAGAAACCAGCATGTTGTTAAATGTGCACAGACACACTAACAAGGCATCCAGCAAAACAAAAGTTTTGTAAACTCTTAATAGGATCCATGAGATGAGTAGTACCTGTTGGAAGTAAATACTCACATACACTTCTTGTCGCTTTTTTTTGAAGTTACATAATGTTTCACTGAAATGAGATATTATGGCAATGCATTTGAGGACCTCAAAAGCACATACAAATTGCTCTATACCGACATTTTCTAAAAGGGAATCCTCAGAAAATACTTTCACATTTTAAAACATAGGGCACTTTACTTAACCTCTGTAAGAGCATCTTATATACTGCATTACATTTAGAGTTTAAAATTGTGAAATCTAAGTGCTATTATCACCATTGATTTTAGAGGACTACTTTATTTCTAGGGGATTCTAATACTTCCAAATAAAAGCTAATTTTAGTTTTTTATTGTAATTCTTCAAATGTCTTTTACTTACCAACACACAGTAATTTCTAATATTGTTTATAGCACCATAAATAGTTCAGTATTGCTCCCAATGTGTATTTTTAAAGTCGCTAGTAAAGCAAACTGATTTTCTACATTGTGTTCTCAGTTATGACAGAATAATATAAAACAAATATAAAAACGTTTAAAAGGAAAGGACACCTTTCCAATATAATTACCTGCATGACATCAGTAACATCAATGAAATTAGTTCCCGGAAACTTTGTGTCTTCCTCGTCACTATGTATATCTTCTGGAGTCTGATAAAGACAAATTGAAATTGCTAGGTATTTCATATTGGGGGGAAAAAATGCATTAGCAGAAAAACTTCATGACAAGAATGCAATTAAATCACTATTCACTGTCAACAGCCTGAATCCAGAAAAAAAGCTTTAACCACCTTAAAAGTTAGGAGGAATTTCTTTGCATAGCATAAAGATTATCAGAAATTTTTCTTGTAGGATGACAACTAAAACCTGTTCTTACCAAATCTAATGGAATATCTCAACATCAAAAGTTCTAGGGAAATACCTGTAACTCTTATTAAAAAAAAAAAACAGTAAGACAAAATATGGTAAAACATAGCACACAAGAGTCTAGAAGTGTCTCAAGCAATTTACTTATGTGCGATTTCTATGATGTTATTTAATAATATCATTTTAAAATAATAATCACTATTTTAGTCTACAGTCTCTGTCTTATTCAGTGAGTATCTTGATCACAGGACTCTGGAGGCCCTAACTCCTTAAGTCAGAATAGCAGCTAACACACAGGGAAAATGGAAGGTACAATAACTACGCAAAAATAATCACTGCACCTCCATGCCATCACACTGTCCAGTCTGTGCAAGGCACAAGACAGAAGTCTACTGGAAGAAACAATACGCCATCCTGTAAACATGTGCCTTACTTTACAACCTTATCATTCAGCATGCAGCAGCTAACCTTTTAGTTGCAGAAAAACCTTCATTACTGCTTAGATTAGATTAAAAACACTTCTGAAGAGTTGTATGGAAAGAGAATATAGTAGACTCGCCAGCTCCACACACAACAGGTTACCAGTGACCAGGCTAAGCACACACGCCACTAACCACTCAAGTACAGCAGACAGAGGAATGAAGAACATCCTCAGTCTTCATGCCAGAACACTAAAGCCAGTATAAATAAGACAGACATGGGCCAATAACTCTTAACAGGATAGAGAAATGCTGTTTTTCTTAAGAGTTTTGCAATAGTGATTATTTAATCTTTTAAGAACAGTGTCTTGCTGCAATTTTTTATTTCCATAAACAAATACCTCATATAAATTCTTCAGAATAATTGCTCCATTTTTCCTGGAACTGTCTAATTTCTCTAACTAAAACAAGATAATGAGATAAATTTGTAGTAATTTAACATACATTCTTTTTTAACAAATTTGAATTCACGGATGTTTAGACCAATCAATACCTGTATTACAGCCTCGACAGGAGGAAGTGCAGGTTCAGAGCCTGGAAGAACGTGGTTTACACTCACACTGTCACTTGAAATACTGTCAATATCTACATTTGGTAACACCTAGGGCAGAAAAAAGCATCATAGAAAATCTATGTATTAGCGTGGCTACTATCGTTGAACTTTTTAGATTCTCTCTTCCACTGGTTACTGAGCCACTAAGCTTCAGTACCTCCTTTTCTCATACCTGTATCTGACAGTAACTTGGTTCTGAAAAACAAAATACTGTAATGTACAAAAACTAACCCCACAAATATTAATCTCTCTTCTTGCAGTACCTGATTTCTCCTATTCTCTAATTCCCTGATACTCTGTCTTGCATGTGACAAAAGGTGAGTATACCTGTAACTATTTATATAGCAGATGTGTGTTTGACTTGCAATTTGTTTACACTATGTTGGCCTACAAGCTGGTTATCGGCTTCACATTGTCATACAGCTGCTATAGTAAAATAAAGAGACAATTGTATTACAACATAGTTTGTAATAAAAGGATATCCACTACAGCATCAAAACATGTTGTGGTTTTTTTTAAGAACAAAGATTTAAATGCTTGCTTAATTCTTTCAGGGGGAAAATCACCTTAAACATTTAAGAACTGGGTGAAATAACAGCAAAATGCACATGGGTCAAATACAATGATACAGCAAGGGAACAAACCACGTACTACTCTACACGTATTTGAGTTCCATGAATCATTTGTATCTGAAAGGTGTGTGTAGGAGTGTGTATATTGTCAACAATTCCAGTTCAAAATGAACATGTAAGAAACATTAATTTCCTTGACAACAGACTCATGTAAAAAAACTTTAAAAACCCACAAACACAACCCAACCCACTAGGTAAGGACTGCAATGGTTGATTAATCAGGAGTGAAATCCTTGGGTTGACTATCATGCTTTAAACAGAAATCTTAAAGGCCAAAGCAGTCATCCAAGAAAACTGACATTTCTATTAAGACTTTTTTTAATTCCAAGTTTCTTCTGGTTCAAAAATCTCATTTAAAGAAAAAAAAAAAGAAAAAAAAGAAAATTGACATAGAAGTATTTCATAAACAGCCTGTCTAGTGGACTTAGGGAAGAAATGGTTTTCTATTTTGGTCAAATAATAAGGATAATCATTAAAATATGAATAAAAAATATTAGCATAACATGACAACATCTTGACCCTCTATTCTATATGTTTCTAATGCTTACTGAAAACCATCTACTGATGTCAAAGTAAGTTACTTAAAGGGGGACTAAAAGAAAGATGGGGACAAACTTTTTGGCAGGGTCTGTTGTGACAGGACAAGGGGTAATTGTTTTAAACTAAAGGAGGCTAGATTCAGACTAGATATAAGAAAGAAATTTGCTTACAGTGAGGGTGGTGAAACACTGTCACAGGTTGCCCATAGAGGTGGTAGGTGCCCCATCCCCGGAAACATTCAAGGTCAGGCTGGACAGGGCTCTGAGCAACCTGATCTGTGCACCCCTGCTCACTGCAGGAGGGTTGGACTACGTGACCTTTGAAGGTCCTTTCCAACCCAAACCATTCTATGACTCTATGATTGCACTGATGGATGAGACTGCCTTTAGTTAGCATTTATTAAAATAAACAAATAACCATCACTCTTGACACATACCTGCACAGACAGTTGCGGTGGGTCCTTCTTCTCTGATTTCATCTCTATTACAGCTATGTTTGGGTTTTTTATCTCAACTGGTGGTTTTGGTGGCACTCGAGGAAGAGAGGTTGTAACTGTGACAGGGTGCGGTTTACCTATATCTACTCCAGCAGGCTGCAGTGAGATGTCGCTAATTTGGGTTTGACCTAAGGACAGTTTAAAAATAGTTAAATATATATAAATCTCCGAAGTCATCAAATTAATAAATTAATTACAATTTAATTCTGAGCGTCTGTGTTTCACATAAGACAGACTGAGATCTCATGCACAATTACAGACCAAGTAAAAACTCTGCTATTAACACCAGCTAAAGTATAGTGCTTCACCAGGCAATTTTAAGGCTTTCCCAGCAAAAACTGTAAACTCAACACCGCAATTTTTTAAAATTATTCACTTTTCTTGACTACGGTGACACCTACTGCTGAAAACGAGAATAACTACATTGTGTTTGCTGTTCAAAAATTACATACCATGTTTCCCCCACCTCACATTTTCTTAATCATACTCAAAATACTATTACACTTAGTATAGCATCCCACAAATTTTTGTTTGAGGCACCCTTTTTTTCTCTAGTAATTACTTGCTTTAAATGCCAATATAATACTAACCCTTCCCAAACAAGGCCTATAGAAAGGTTCTATTGAAGGTCCAAAAATACAGAGGTCGTGACGATTAATTTAGTGCATTTGGCACAATCCTACTGAAACTGTTGGGCTGAAGTCATCGTAAATGTTGAATACAAGGGTCAATGATTCAGTTCCTGCTCACGTGTATACCAAACTTAAAGCCAGAACAAGAACTCTAGAAATGTAAAGTGTACCAAAGAAGGTATGTACAGTTAAGCAAATAATTGCTCTGTCAGGGTGTCGCCAGACATCCAGCATGAAGCACAAGGAGAACCAGAACATTTTAAACCATTCCCCTATGTAGATTTCCCACAAGAAGGGCAGCTGCAAATCTCATGGGCTAGGGCAGATCACTGACTTAAGAAGATACAAGTTGTATTTCCATGAAGTAGCAGTAATTAACCTTGACATATCCTTCTACAAGTTATTTGCCCTACCTAGTGGAATAGCCATAGGAATTAGGTGACCTTCAAGTGGACCATAGACAGCAGGCACATCTCGACTTGGACTAAAAAGATACTGATTTTCTTGGGAAAGCATATATAAAGGATGCTGTTTCTTAGGGCTGGTTACCACCTTCTGTGTCTGAGAACAAGTCTGTGTTCTTGCTGATTTTACCTTTGTACCTGAAACAAGAGCAGATAAACTGTGTGTCACCAACACATAAACAAACCCAGTAATGCAACACACTCTACTAATTTAAGACCTTCTATTGAAACAATTATAAATTTTAGAAGAGTACGCAAGCTTAGCATAAAAAATAGACAGAATACAGAATATAGACAAACTTTCATCTGTTGTTCATCTGATTAACTGCCTCAATTTTATAAACATGCAGTTTGTCTCCAGCCACTCACTGCTACTGGAAAATAAAGCCATAACTAATAGCCGTAAGCCTTGACTGGCAACATCAAAGAAGCACTGATTTTTTTTGAAATTTTGAAAATGTACTCTTAAATAGCCACGTAGAAGTAATTTGTATATAACAATTCCTAAGTATATCGCAGAGGAGAATGTTTATTGCAATGTTGCATTTCTCGCTATACAGTCATGCAAGGTCTTATTCAATCTATATTCCTTGCAAACAATCGATATTATTAAGGGAATTATTAACTTTCATCTAAATGGATAAAAACTGCCTGAAACATACCCAAAAAAGGAATCAACAATCGTGAATCAAACAGAAGTGCTCCTACTGCTATTTTCTAGGTGTTAGGAAAATGAACCTGGAAAGAATCACACTGGTAACCAACTCCGCATCTTCACTACAGCCAAAAAATGTCATCTTACTCCTCCGTTGTTTCTAATCATCACCCTTCCTGTATTAATGGCCAGCTAACAGATGGCAACAAGCACTTTTTAGCTCTGTTCACATTTAATAGCTTCCTAATTAATTGAAGAATAAATGTCAATTATGATAAAATTTAGGGATAATAAAGACTGATAATGGGACTTTTAACAAATGCAGACAAGCAAGTAAGGCAATTCACTCAAGAAGCGGTATTTTTGTACGAACAAATCATGGGTTATAAGCCTAGAAACAAGAATGGCAAGCTGTAACTCTTCAATGAGAAAATACAAGTCAGAAAGAAGTGTCTCTGAAAAAGGTTTTAAGGTCATGTTGGATAAGCAATGCAATGACAATACAATGCTGTGGTCAACAGGACAAATGTAATCCTCAGATGTCGCAAGAGGATGTCAGTGAGGTAGAGCAGGAGAAGGCTTCCATATATGATAATACTGCATGCAGTACTAATTCTGTATCTCTGTAAATATTAAAATAGATTAGACATTAAGCAGCCTTTTTCATTTTTTTAAAGAAAATCACCTGGAAACTGAAGTAGTTGTAAACCAAAGCCGAAAACCCACTACAAATCAGATACTAAATTTGAAGTGTCTCATTCACTTTTGAATCATAAGGTATCTAGCCATGGGAAGAAGTAATTAAGGGCAGAATTTCTTATGTCTTTAAATGATGAGCATGCGCCTTTCTGCAAAGCATAGGTTAGCCAGAAAAATCGTTCTTTAGTCAAAGACAAATTACTGGACTCAGTAACGTAAATAGACACAGTTCAGTGGCTTGTGATTTAGAAGAGGTCATACTACACGATCTAACAGTCCCCCCTGGCCTTGAACTTTTGAGTAAAAGCAGAAATTGGCAACATATCTGTAATACTGCCAACTTGTAAAAGCAAAGTTCTCACAGTAAGAATGATTAAGTACTGTATACACACAGCACCTCATTTTAATTGCTTTCAACTTTTCATTTCCCCCTGAAAAGTTTATTTGCACTGGGCAGAAACTAGACATTTAATTAAACTTAGCTTTAAAAAACTAGTGTTTTCCATATATTATCAGTTCAAATTATGCAAGAAAACAACTCCAACTTTTTTTAGAAATGCTCTTACTCATAAAAGTGTTAGTTGGATCTTTTTCCTAACTTCCCATAAGAAACCAAGCATTAGTCACTACAGTTTATTTGCAAAGAAAATGGTTGAGAGTTATAAAATGACTGAAAAGAGACTCTCCAGATGGCCATTTCAGTCTTAAATAAACATCCTTATTCTAACACTAATTTAAAGCAAGCTCAGTGGACTGCTCTAACAAAATTGAGTCATTTAATAAGTCTGGATTTTCCAGCCAATCAAACCCAAGGCCAACAACTTCCAATAATTTTTAAGCCTTTATCACCTGGTACGTCAAGGCCAGGAAGGGAATCTGTGGGTGCAGATCCGTGAAGGAAAGAACTAACCATGCCTAATGCAAGCAAGATTTCTTTCTTTCTTTCTCTTTTTAAGAACCTGGTGCTTTAAAGTGCTCATTCAACTTTGTTTCATTTTATTTACACTCCTACTATAGAGGAGTACAGATCTGTTTCTAATTTTATTTTTTTTACTTGCCTGCTATAACAGCATCTTTCAGAATAGCAGCCCACAAAAGCATTTAACTATTTTGTCTTCATGAGACCCATGTGAAACACAGAAGTATTACTTTTCCGTTTTATTGGCAAGATGTAGGAAAGCACAAAAATTAAGCAGCTTGACCAACTGTCTTATAAGAAGAGTGTAGACAAGCAATGCCAGTATGAAACAAAGGCTGACCTCAGTCTAAAGCCATTGAAATCAGAAAACTTGGAAATAGGACACATATTCATTGGAGTGCTATTCTTTTAAGTGACATGCAAAAAATTCCATACTGTTCCTTTCTTCTCTTAGTAAGAATACAAAGGGGTGTCTTATTTTATTTACTGTCATGATAGAGACAAAACCCTAACCTTCCGTAACTGCAATCTGATGTGAAATAGAGAAACAAATTTTATGGTGGTTTTATTATTGCAAACACACATGTTGCTGTACTGCTGTAGTATGACTTAACGACTTGGAAGAGAATCACTTTGGGTAAAGGCTATCCAGAGTTCATTCTGTTTTCAAGCAAACAGTTTTTAAATGGTATTTGTCACATGCAGGAGCTCTGGAAGACTGAATGCAACATGGATCCCATACAAAGTTTTCTCATTCATTTCTACTTGCCTCCAACAGAAAACAAGCTAAAGCACAGGAGCAGCTTATTGCAACTGCATGCAACCTATACCTTTACATTTCACTGACGTTACTGAATTAAATATGTTACCAGTAGAAAACTAGTAGTATCAAGTGACCAAATGACCTATTTATTATAATCAGTTTGGGAGGGAGAGGGGCACTTTTCCTGCCTCTTTACAAGGTATTGTTTCTGGAATGATGAAGTTGGCCTCCCTGGAAAGGTTGTGACCTTCTATAAAGGACAAGAGCTCAATAAATATAGAAGAAAAACAACATTTAGGACTCAGCAAAAGCAGAACTGCTGATTAAATATTTTTAAAGAAGTGTCTGTTCTCAATCCAAATCTTAGTGGGCACTGTATCATTGTTATTGCTACACTAAGTGCTTACTAGCACACATTTCATTCAAAAAAACTGTACAGAATAAACTAAGTAACAGGTGTGCAGCATAGCCAGTAGTCAGAAAGAGTGATATATCATGCTGGTCCTTCAAATGAGTATACCAGCATTTTTCACAAAAAAAAAAGAAGTGTTTCAACAGAGGTCAAATAAAATATATAAGCAACAAGACTAGTACTTTTCATATAACAAGTTCTCACCTTTTAAAAAATAAAGTAAGTTTGGAAAAGTCTTCTAGATTTTTGCCAGGACTATAACCCACATTTTCCAGGAGGGTTATGGGAACTGCAAATACTTTCTACCAATAACACTTTTTCTTCACAAGTCACAACTGGGCTCCAGAAAAGTGCCAGAAAATGGCATAAAGACTACGCTAAGCTTAACAATAGATTCTTGTACTATTTTGAGAAATTGCCATTGTGGATGTCCATCATAATGTCAAAAAAAAAAAAAACAAACCCACAAACCAGCAGTGCTTGTCTTCAAAGACATATATATGTTTTATACCATACCTTTTAATGGCCTAAAAACATGGTCTCATTAAGTGACTGCCTTCTCACGTTAATCTCTCACATTTCATACAGAATATAATAGTTTGACAGTTATAATAAAAACTCAGACACCATTTTTTAAACATGACAGTTCAGATTGCATCCAGTATATTTTCTCTGCATGGGTAACAACAGCATAAGTGCAAGTGTAGAAGGAAGCCAACTAATATTTTTCCATTGATGCTCATCCTATTAACTCCATTGTGCCCACTATCACTTTAACTGCCTCTTGACCTTTCCCTCCATCATTATCTTTTATCATGTAATTTGCCCACTCCCTCCTGCAGTGAGAAAATCATACACATTAGTTTTTCTGATATACCAGTAAAAGATTAATCTGAGTTTCTGTATTAAGAATCAGTTAAGTTTTGAAAAGATAACTAGGAAATAAAACAGATTCAATTAAAACATTACTTTCTACTAACTCAAGATAAAGTTTATCTACACTGACCTATGTCAGATATCATATAATTTCACTTTTTTACTATTTTTACATTCTTAATAGGTTTGAAAATTAGAATCTTCTGATTCTAACACTTTGCCTACAAAACTAATGAATGGAATTATTAATCAACTAATAAATTTTATCAATCAATTAAATAACCTTAACAAGCTAGTACAAAAGAGCGCTATACTCCGCCTTCAACCCTGACTTGACGAACAAAAGAACTGTTTGACACCATTTCCCACAGCATTCTCCTCGAGAAACTGGTTGCTCATGGCTCGGA